CCTAGCTCACAACAACCTCAAACTCCTGGGCTCAAGTGATCCTCCTGCCTCAGCCTCCCAGGTAGCTGGGACTACTGTCACGCGCCACTGTGCCCGGCTAATTTTTTCTATTTTTAGTTGTTTGGCTAATTTCTTTCTATTTATAGTAGAGACCAGCGGGTCTGGCTCTTGCTTAGGCTGGTCTCAAACTCCTGAGCTCAAGCAATCCTCCCTTATCAGCCTCCCAGAGTGCTAGGTTTATAGGCGTGAGCCACCGCGCCCGGCCTATCAGTGATATTTAACGTGTTGTTCTTGGACATCCAAAGAAATGTTTTATTATAAAAGACTGAATTTATACCTGCATTTCAACACATATATGTGCATGGAGAGATTTTTGGAAGAATGTTTAACAGCCTTCACCGTGGGTATTCTAGATGGTAGGACCTTGATACAGTTTACTTTCTGGGCTTTCCATTTTTCTTGTTTGAATTTTTAAAACAAATTTGAAGTAATCATACAAGATCTATTTCTATACAATGTTGTAGTTTTGTCAGTGTGAGTAGCATAAAAAATACTACTCATTGTCCTAGCTATGTAGTTCTTAGTACGTAGCAAATTTCATTCTGAGGCAAACTTTTAATACTGATTTCTAGTAAAGTAATAGCAACAAACAACTAGAATGAACCAACGTTCTGAAGTATTTTCATTTTCCATATTTATGGTCATGTTATTCTCTTAGCACGAAAAAGGAGCAATGCTTCCTTCTTTGATAAATAGTTTTTCATCATTTGCCAAAAAAACTTTCCAGGATATTGAGCTCCCAAAACAAAAGGCCAAAAATCAGGCACCAGGAACTTGTTCTGGACTTTGGATCAACCTTAAAGGGCACACATACTATATGTTCACCTATTCACTTTTTTCTCTTGATTTAACGTACTTGAAATTCCCCTTTCCGTGTCTTTTTTACCATACGGATTGGAAAGATATCAAAATATAATAACCACCTTGTGGAAAATCTCTAGTGATGTTAACAATATGGTCCTCATTTTAGGCTTAAGAGGGTTCGGGTTTTCTTAAACTCTGAACTAAGAACTTAGTGAGGTTGAGCTTGCTCTGCCCGCAGAGCAGCCTGCGTGGCCGCGTCTCCGAGCAGCCGTGCGTGTGCAGCGCGCGTGTTCGTGCCAGGGGCCGGGAGTGCGTGACTGTGCTGGAGCCCGCGGCTCACTCAGGGCTGGCGACGGGAACCGAGACGCGGGGCGGCCACGCAGGCGGCGCGGGATCCTCCAGCCCCGGCGGGGTGAGGCCCCTCCACCGAGGCCGGGCGAGGCGCAGCTGCGGGGATCCGGCGTCAGGGCCCCGCATGTGCTCGGAGGGGCGCACTTGACCCCCTCTGGTGTGTCTGTCCCGCTAGGAAAAGTATTTTAGGTTGTTTTCTATTTATTTATTTTTTTAGTGTCTCAGAAAACAGGCCGGAGCCCAGGGGTCGGGAGGGTGGGAGGGTCCGGGCTTCCGCGGGGCGGTGGGGGAGGGGCAAGGGCGGGGCGGCACCGCCCACAACGCATTTCCTGCGGGGTGGCGCGACCTGCGTGCGGCCTCACGGATCTCGGCGACCGGGAAGCCGGGGCCGGGTGGCGGCGCGCGCGTCAGAGGCGCCCAGACGCCAGGTACGTGAAGCCGCCTCTGCGGCCGGCACGGGGACGGTTGGGCCGGGCGGTTGCAGCCCCGTCGCGCCGTGGCCTCTGTGACGCACCGCGTGGCCTCCGGGGGTGGCTGGGCGGCGCTGCGCGACGGGGGCGGAGCGAGCGGGGGGCGGGGCG